TGTTGAAGGTTGATTTCTTGAAGTACTTGTTTTTCTGAGAAGGAAGGTAAAACTTGTAAGTACTGCATTTTTAAATGAAAGCTGAGGAGAGCTATGTTGGTTTTATTTGTTCATATAGTTATGGTTTTGAGGAACCTTTGCATTTCTTGCATACCAGTTTTTCTCCAGTGCTGATGAAGATCCTGCCTGCACTGAGTAGCTTTCAATTTCCACAGTTCTCATCAGAATTGTAGGGTCTAGACTGCCACCACTAAATGAGCAATGATCAAAAGGACAAAGGTAGAAGAAGAAGCTGTTTCATAAGGTTTTACAAGTCACTATGTTCTCAGTGACAACAGGTCGTAACAGAAGAAAATTATTTGATTTCATGATGAGAATACAAGTTTGATAAGAAAAAGTAATTGCACAAAATCAATTTCTTCAAGTCTTTTTGTATGACTTCAAAYAACAGAATATTCTGGTAAGGAATTAATCACCATATTATATCAATAAAAGACTTCAGTGAGCTGGGTTCCAACTGATGTGTTTAGGGTCTGAGCAGCAGCATTGTCGCATCACTGTCAGATGGTGCCTCATGGTGCTTTAGCCAAGAGGGTTAAGAAGTGCTTTCTGTGAAGAATCTGTGCATAGCTGGATATTGGTAGCAGCRTTTGACAGGGACTGTCAGCAAACCTGTCATGATTCAATACCGAWCAGTGATTCAGAAGTATATAAAAAAACTTTGCTGATGCAGCACAGCAATGATACAGATTAGTCAAATATAACTAGTGACAAAAACAAGACAATCCTCAGAAAAGTGCAATGAATATGGTTTGGGGCTGGAGGAGAGAAGGAGGTGAAATGGTTTAACCAGTGAAAATCTTAGGAATTTCTCTGTTTAGGTTAAACAAGATTCAGAGGTATCTTGACTACAGTACATAAGTACCTGCAGAGGAAGAAAGTATGGGATACTGAAAGACTCTTTATGKTAGCAGAGAAATACAAACCAGAAAGCAGTGACTGGAAGCTGAAACTACAGTCAAAGTAGACATTAGATACAAATTTTAAAAGTGATTTTGAAGAGCCGGTACAACACTGTTGTAGAAGCATGAGTGCATCTTTCCTCACCTGATCTCTTTAATCTGAATGTGAATGTTTGGCATACTGCTGCCAAAATAGGGTCTGTCTTCAGTACAGCTAATAGTGATAATTGTAGGAGGGAAAAGATGACAGTTCAGATTTAAGCAAGGATTGCAAAAGCCTGGTAAGAAATCTGGGTACATACTGGAGTTGTCACTTGCATAGAAGWCCCTGGCAGTGCACCCACAGTGCTGCAGATTTAACTTTGTCTGTGACTGTCTCACTGCAACCTTGCCTGCATTCTGCYGTGTAGACACATGGGAGGAGGTAGGGGTGAAAAAGAAAAGGAATATCTGAGTTGAGGAATAACTTTAAAATAACAGAAGGGAGCTCAAAGTTGAAGCTTTGTGCAGGGAATAGGAGTATTTTATTGAAGCTGGGAGAAGGATAATTTTAACAGTAATATTTATAAGCACTACGGGGAGATATTATCAGAGACCAAAGAAAAAGCATTTGCAGTAGGCAGGGGAGAAAATGAGAGCTGTGGCACTTAATCCCAGGGAAAGCAAATCTTTGAAATGTTGTGAATAAAGGAAATGGCAAAATCTTATTTCCAAAAAGCAGCCAGCCTAGCATGCAAGTGACAAACTCATTTTCCTTTCATACAAAAAAAAAGAGCTACATTCTGCTCCCACTTCCAGACTTAAAACACTATAAATGGGCCAGTCAGGAATAGCTGAATCTGAAGCTTGGTTTTGCCATCCTAGTTTTTATTCAGCATCACTGCAGATGTCATCTGCGGGGTTTGAATTCCATAGAACTGATCAGTTTGGTCTGATTTTACCTTTTGTTTGAATAATCATAACGATAGGAGGATTTTAAAAACAGGATCTGAATCCCTATTGAGGTTTTTAATACCTCCTATTCTGAGGTCACTGGATTTAGGATTTCTGCTTGGGCCTATCTCATACATTTTTACAGATATTCAAAAGCCTGTAATAGCCCACACACAGGTTATATTAATTTCCAGTGCCTAAATCCCTTAAGTGCTTTGGGGATTTCCCTGCTAATCCTCTTTTTAATGCAGGGGTATGTTTGAACCTTTGGGATTTATTCTTTGTGTTGGTTGTTTTCCAGCCAAAGAATCTTTCAAGGGTAACAACAGCAAGCGCTAAATACATAAAGACATAGAAAGTTTATCTGCTGTTTATATCATCGCAGCAATCTGCCAATCTTTTTTGGCACAAGTAGGGAAAGAAAGTGTGACTTTTATTAGTAATTACACTACTTATAGTAATTTTAGGCTCTTGCTAATATATAAATTTATGCAAAAGTATTAAATCCTGACTAAACATCAAATCCTTTCCTTTCCAAGGGCAAAGTGGCTGTATTAATATTAATGAAGCCATAAAATACGAGTTAACTGACAGCATTTTTGCAGTTGCTTACTGCATCTGTATTTTGTTACTGAAAAGTTATTATATTTTTCATGTCTGAAAGTAAAACATGAATACCACTATCACAAACTGCTCTTTGTTGTAAGTGACATGCCTTTTCTTTATGATGCATGCTTTGCCATAAAAAGGGAGTGCTTCATGCATTTCTGTTGGGAGATGCCTATTTATTCTGACAAACAGATCAGCTTCCAGGGTGTTTCTTTGCCACAGAGCTGATTCTACATCTCAKCCATTATCTAATAAGATGTGAAAAGAGTACCCTGTCTCACAAAAAAATCAGGCTTTGTTTCATTACAAAGATGTGGCAAGCTCACTCACAAGATTTACTTGCAGGATATACAATTGTTAGTGAAAGGCCCAGTTACACACTCATGAATGTTTCCAATCAGCCTGTGGGGAAAACATTGGTAACATTGGTACTGAAGATCATTTATTTCAAAGGCAAGTAAAGAATGTGACTACAATGAGAAAATGTATTTTATGTCTTAAATAGTACTGCATGAGCTTATGAATTTTATTATTATAATAAACACCAATGCCACATAAACTAGCCAGACAGAATGTCCCTGCAAAATATATGCCCAGGTTGTTTTTCTTCTCTTTCTTTATTATTTCTCCCTTTCCAGTGTTTATGAAAGGTTTAAAATTGCGCCTGCATGGGAAAAAGGAGAGAGATTGGAGTAAGGAAAGCRAGCTGAGGCATTGTGTGATAAGGCAGTGATAAAGCAGGTGTATACCTTGCTTTATCCCTATCAGATAACTGTTGTCAGTCAGATGTGCTCATAAGGAAATAAACTCTCAAAGGAAAAAGAGATGCACAATAGGAAATTCAGTTAAACCTGGACAGTTAACCCCTTAAATGTTAAGGGATAACAAGCCTTTAAGACCTTAGGTAACTAGATATACCTCTCTATATATGTTTGGGCAGTGCTTAGCACACCAGAAACTTTTGACCACTAACGCACTGCAAATCATTGTTGTATTTAAACGATGCTCTTTTACTACAATGCAGCCACCCACATAACACACCCCACAAAAAAGAGCTTCCATTGTGAAGATGTTTGCTAACAACCACAAGTGAATTAACAAATCCGTGTAAGTTGAAGTAAAACAAAACRTTTGCTATCATTGAGAAAATAATGGAGAGGAGAAACAAGAAAGCAAACAAGTGATTAGGTTTGATATCTCTGGAAGTTAGAACACTCACTCCACTCCACTGCTTCAAATTTCTCTGACTTTCTGAATAGCAGGATCAATCCTTTTAGACTTGCACAATGCTTCTTTTCATGAAGTGCCATTTCTTTAGCATGACAATAAAATATAATTTTCAGYGCTTCTCAGAAAAGTGAAAATACAGCTTGAAAGAGTTCAAAATGAAAATGCAAAAGCTGGAATTACTGGCAGACAAATGTTCTAGTGTCATGTCCTCCTGATATCCTTTATTCATTACATGTGAATGCAGCTCTGTATCTAAAAATCAAGGCTGTTTTATCAGTCTTGCTTATAATGCCAGTCAGAATGGCTTACTGCTGAGAGATCTTTCAGAGTCTGGAGTTGCATTGAGACAGCATAGCTTTAAAACAGCATAAGAGAGACCCRTTCTACATTACTGACTTTTCCACTTACCTGCAAGGACACAGAATTTAATGCAGCATTGATGGGTCAAAGATTTTGACACATGTCAAGACAGATATCTCCATTTTAGAGGTTTAAAAAAGGCATCAAACCTGATCCATATGAACCACTTTAGGTGGCAGAGGCAGTCAGACTGAACTAGGGACAATTGTTTCACTGATCTGCAAAGGACATTACTTTTCAATGAACCTTATGTAAAGAACAACGTTATTTGAAGAAGATGAAACCAGAACAATTGCTAAAATGCAATGAATGTCTAGAGTTAGATCCCTAAACCCTGTGTTACATATCCTATCATTGCGTTCTTTTCATGGATTTTTTTTAAACCATCCTATGAAGGTCTATGGCAAGGATATAATTTGCTTCAAAATGGTATTTCMCATGGCCTTTTATAAAGTGGTCATCCCCTAGCAAAGTCAGCAATAGTTTTCCATACAGAAGACATTTGATTCAGAACTACAAATAGACTATTTCCATTAGCAAACACTATAAAGCAGAACTGCTTTTTTTCTGCCATCACCCTTCTTCTATAAATAGATTTCATTACAGCAAAAACACACCCAGAAGTATCTAGTATGACTTTGGATCCCTAAATTAACCATGTAACAAAACCTCATTTTAAATAATGGCATTTATGTTACTTTACCAATGAAATGTATAACAGTAACAGCAAAATTGTTATGTTAATGATCAGAGTGTATAATAAGATGCACAATTAGGAGGATTATGGGAATTTAATGGGATGAGAAGGGCAAGGGATCATCTGTTGTATGGCTCTTCATGATTGTAACCTGCTGTCTATGTCCCTAATGTGTTTTTGTGACTGGCATGCTCTGGTTTGTTTTCCAGTCTGTGTTCTGCCGTGAATGTAAAGAAGAATACCACGAAGGGGAATGCAGCTCTCTCCTCAGCTCGCAGGGAGCCATGGCCCAGAAGGTATGGATCTCACAAMTCCTGATCACTTTCCCTGGCCCAACCAGAGTGACATTTGTCAAATGGGTCCTAATTATAATCCTAAGTAAAAGCAATTATGTTCATGTTGAATTACTCTGGCCATCAGAGTTGCCGAATTGGCTTTGTGCTGGATTTCAGTCTCTTTGATTGATAGAGTAGCTCAGTTCTGTCAGGAACACAWAGGGCTCTGCCATCAGCTGATAAAGAAAAGGCCTTCCCAGTGGGCTTCTAGGGTTGTCTCTATTCAATGTGAACACTTTTGAAAGGCTTTCTGTAGTCTTGCTGTCTTTCAGCTTATTTTCAKTGCAGCAGTCAGAAAATCATGTGGGTTTGGGCCAAATAACAGGGCTTTTATACAGCCTATACAGAAAATACTATTGGTAATTTATGTTTTAGCTTACAGAAATAAAAAATAAATTGTCTAGGCTGCAAGCTGTTAAATGGTAATTATTCTAGGCTGCTCTATAATTTTATAGCTAGTGTAGCTATAGACCTGAGCAGGAAATAATATTTTTTCTCTCCTGGCATTTCTCTTTGAGATTCAAGTTTTCCTTTAAATAAATAAATCATGTAAACCACAGTCTTTTCAGCTAGAAAGCAGGGGAAAAAAGAAAAGCAGGAAGTGGAAGAAAAGGAAACACACGCCCTAAATATCTCACAGCTTGATGCCCAGGGTGCACTCCTAGGAAGCAGAAAACTGGTATTCACACATCTGGCAAGCTTAATGCTAAGAGGAAACTCAAACCCTGAGACCCCACAGTCCAATGTGGCAGATAAGGGTTTGTGGGCAGGTGCTGATGAGGACTTGCATCCAGCCAGCTCTCAGGGAGGCATTCCAAGCTCCTGTAACTGCTTGCAGGCGGGCTCTGCCTCTGGCTTTTGGGGACTTGCTGTTTGAACRCAGAGACTGGGAGCAAGATGATCAGCACTGGCTGAGACAGAATGAAACAGCCTATATCCTAGTAGCCAGCCAGGGTCTCTACCTATGTTGTCCTGGATCATGTGTATTGTACCAGACCCCAAATCCATCAACTTTCCCAGCCCTTAATGATTTGTGATTCAGATGTAGCATTTTATGTTTAGTAGCTTTCAGCAAATTTTTTTTCCATGAATTTGTGCAATCCATTTTTGAAGCCATATATCTGCAACAAGGAGATTTGCAGCTTAGTTGCCCTCTATGAAAAMCAGTTTAATTTTATTTGCAAAAGCCTTAGAGCAGTCTTCCAATTACCTTCACATTTATATAAAAACAAAGCAACTTCAGCAGAGACACTGAGAGATGCTTAAAGCATCCAACAGCTTAGTAAAGTACRAGACCTAAGCCTGATGTCTTACCTGAATTAAACTGAGCTAAAACTCATCTCAACATGAACAGAGAGCTGTATATTCATTAAGTTATTTATGCCTAGAGTTTTGCCTAGAGTACTGAACATTGTCATGGCACATTAAAAGTGAGCTCAAAAATGTTGGCTCTGTGAATGTTAAAATTCATGTAATTTTTATGTTGTTGGGCAAAGATAAGGGTATGCCAGGAAGAATCAGAATACTATACGAAGAAGTCATTTATTATAAATATTTGAAYATTGCCTTAGCTTTTCCTTATAACAATGGGAGCACTTCATCCATCTGATCCAGTCTCTCAGCATATGAATTGCACCCAAATAGACCTGCTAACTTAGCAATGCTGTCAACTTTTGCAACTCCAGTGYAATGTGAACATTTTTGCTGTTGCTGAAAAATTTCCTGTACTCTCAAAGAACTATTCCAGAATAGCTAAATGACAGTACCAGAATAACTCTTTCATGTACACAAATCAGATGTATAGACAAGATGTATATACTACGCAGGATTCATGGAGACCCCAGTTTAAGCTGAAGTTAATTGATTTAGGTCCGTCTTCTTTTCCCCTAAGAAATTGAGCGCTGCACTAATTAAATTTCTCCACGAGGCGGTGCTGTCCTACCGAAGGAATGTTTTCCCTCTTTCCAGCCCGGCGAGCGGGACTGCAGCCGGGCAGGCACGGGTGCTGGTGAGATGCTGGTGAGATGCTGGKGAGATGCTGGTKWGMTGCYGGTTTGCTGCCGGGCACACAAACCATTCAGGGGGGGATGTATGGAGAGCAGAGCAGAGCCTTCCATCTCTCACTGAGAGTGCTGTAAACATTTCCCCACCCGTGCTCTCCAGCTCTCTGTCCCTCTTGCCATCACCTTCGKGTGCATACGTCCAGCGTGCTGTGATTGTAGTGCCCGGTGAGGCCGCAGGAAGGTTTGTTTTGTCTTTCATCGTGGTCCACTTCAAGGTAGGAATAATTTACTTCCAGGGCTGTCTCCAGCTCATGCAGTTTGACTCCTGTCTGGATCCTTTCCATATCATTTATTTTATAAAGAGATCTTAATGCCACARCTTGTGCCAGTTTTAAGGATCAGACACACTGCCACTAAACTGCTCCTCTCCAGTACAGGTGCACGATACACGATTGCTCTCAGGGAAATATTCCTATAAGAAAAATGCAGGGTTTACTTTAGCCTGTAGTGGCTGCAGTACTGGAAGGACCTTCTGCTGCCCTCACATTTCTGCAAATGACTGCAGGTCTCGGATGTTCAGCGATAGGAGAGGAAATACTGTGGGCAGGTTTAGGCCTAAATCAGTGTGACAGAGGTGAACATGGTGGAACATGAGGATGTGAAAGAGATGGGAAAAAAATACCAAAAATGAGAGTTGTGGAGGAATTGAATAACCAATTGTTGATGGCAACATAGAGTGGGCCATCTGCTTCCTGGGGACTATCAGGAGATTGGGACAGCAAGGTCTGATGATACCTTCAGTCTGGCACCAGTTTGGGAAGGCTTGGAGAAGATCTTTCAGAAGGAGAGGTAGAGCCTGATAGAGAGGCGTTTGAGTGTCCGTGAAAACCAAAACCGACAGGAGGGACTGTGACCTGTCAGATAGAGTGGAAGCTCCAGAAAGAGGAAAAGAGAGAGAGATGTGAGGTGACATGGCACAGCAATGAGGGCTCACGAAACATAAATGATGGTGGTGAAATGGGTGTGTGCTTGGGCAGATGTCAGAAGGAGGGAGGKGGAAGCCTCAGGTAAAGAGAGGGAGGTGTAGCTGGTGGGACTGGGAAGGAGGGTAGGGCAGGATGGAAGAGGGAATGGGGTTGTTTGGCAGGAGGAAGGAAGAGGGAAACTGTGATTGCWGGGCTTAGGAGGGAGAAAGCAGGTGCCACGTGTGGGTGTTTGAAAGCCTGTTCCAAATGAAGGAGTTGGATGGTTGTAATGGTGGGAAGCCAGAGGGCCTTCCTTGCTGCTTGGGGCAGAAAAGGCAAACTCGGCAGCTGGCATGCAGAGAGCAGCCCAGCTTTGCCTGCTGGGGTATCATGACCTTTCAGATCCGTGCACAGATATTGCATGGCCCATTGGGAAGGATAAAATGTTCTCTTTCTGCTCAAATGTCCATTTTTAGCCCAGATGGGCCGTTGGAAGCTTWTCTTAAACATTTACTTACTGGTGCAGGACCAATTATTTCCCATCTTAGTGTGTAAATTACATTATTTCAGGGAAAATAAAATTTATCTGTGGCAATATCGGTTGAAAAGCTTTCTCTTAAAACCATTGTAGCCTCCTGGAGGCATTTGAACTTTGGGATGACAGAAGTAATCCTATTTGATGAATTAAAAGGCACAGTGTGCATGATGGAATCAATGACACAGTAAAGGTGACTCCAGCCASATTTATGTTTAGAAATAACCACACAATCCCTGCCATATACACCACAAAACCAAGCTTCCTGGCCTTTTTTAACCTCATAACACAGACATTCTGTGCTGGTGGGGAATCTAGCCATAAACATGCTTCCTCTGTAAGTCCCCGCCTAACTTTCCTAGCACAAAACCTTTCTAGATGGTTTTCCTTTTACAAGGGTAAGCAATGCATCTTTTTGCTCACTAGGAACTGGACAAAAAAAAATGTGACCACATATTAGATTTGAACTTTTTCAGAGTAGCTTCCAGGATGGTTTTGTTGCTGGGCATGTCGGTAAGACAGTGGCAAGGTCAACTGTAATGGCAATAGCAATGACACTGATGTAAAAGTGGTGCCTGTGTAAATAAGTGAATATGGAGTCAGAAATGTTTGGGGGGAAAAAACATGGTACAAACAGAAAGAAACATCATATTAAAGAGTATGTTTTAGAGATACTTTGGACAAACTTTCTCCAAGAAGCTGCTAATAGTCTTGTCCTACCAAACCAATGAGTGTGTAATTTTAAAAAGGTAATAGCTTTTTAGCAAGGTTGCTTTGTCACCGGTTGCTGTGAATTTAGTAGAGAGAATAAATTAAACATCATGATAGATTTCTAGTTACAGCTGTACACAAATACCTCCTATAACCAGCATTCAAAGGCTTGAACCTAAAAGAAAACCTAAATTCTAATTCATCATTCCRTAAACCCAGTCTGACAGTCTGGGTTGTAGAATACCCAGATGTAAATATAGTTCATCTCATTTGAACAAATTCTACTATTAATGCTAGGCCAGCAACTGCTCTAAACCTAAGCCTAGGTTAAACACCTATGGTGTCTGAATTCTTTAAGTTTGCCCATGGTCTCTTCTGCTCCAGTATCCAACCCTAACTCTTTGAAAGTCCTGTTGGAACATACCTAGTCTTAATCCAAGCCTTAATTCCAGCTAGTTCTAGCAGGTCTTGCCCTGCAATCCGTGCAATCCAGGAAAATCCTTCTCTAAACACTCACCTTTAGCTGCTGATGCAGCTAATAATTGTTACCCTTTTCTTGCACACAGGTGACAGACTAGGCTGTGTAAATTTCTGCCATTTTATTACACTGAAAATCTCATTACCTGCTAAAGGTGCTCATTTCAGACCATGTTTACTGTATGCACAAAACTGTTTTGCTAATTTTATCAAACTCTTAGAATGCTAATAAATTATTTTTAGTCCATTTACAATAGGACTGKCAGTTCA